ATAGAAAAAAAAAATAGCGCGATTTTACGCAGAATGCGCGGTCGGAAGGGATAATCTCTCAGATTGCTGGACGACTCAATATTCATCGCCGAGGCGCCCCGGCGCGGCGCACGCAACGCGTCCTCCTCCCGCTCGGGGGACAAAGAGGAACCGCCGCGGTCGGCTCCCCAACCCCAACGGAGGAGAGAAGTTACCATTTGCATTTCCGCTGCAAACGCGGCGCCACGCACGTGCCTATCGCGCACCCCTCGAACGTCGTCGGTCGGGGCGCAGCACGCGAGGCGAAGCGAGCGAGCGAGCGAGCGAGTCCACGACTCGAGGAGGAGCAGAGTTTCCTCGCCGCGCGCGCCGTGTACTTTGCATAATTTCACGAATCGCGCGTATAATCGTTCCGCCGCCGCGCCGCCGCTGTCGGTCGCTACAAAATCGTATACGCGTGTATATATATGTGTGCGCCGGTGACGGTTTGTGTTTCGTGCCGCGGGCGATCCCGCGAGTCGACCGGCATTAGCATAAGGTTTTTGACGGAGTGACGCGTGTGCGCGGCACACACCTCGCGCCTGCTTGTCCTCCTGAAAGCGACACGTGGCCCCGCCACGAGACGCGACCGGAAGGGTTGAGGCCCGCTGAATTCCCCGTGTTAAGTCCCCCTCCCTCCGAATCTTCCTCCTCCTCCTTCCACTTCCTCTTCTTCTTTCCGCCGCGCCGAAACTTGGATCGAGAAACTCGAGTGAATGTTTAGACATAGGTGTGTATATTATATATATATATATATATACACACACACATATATATATGTATATATCTATATATACGGAAGTGTCGATGTGACACGTGCCGCGACACGACGGGACGTTTGCTCGCTCTCCGCTCGCTGTGTACTCAGCATTAGCATGGGATTTCAATGCCAACTCGGCGTATAGATTTTCTTTGCCTTTATTCTTCGGGGCGCGCTTTCGGGATGTCGTGTGCATAACTATGGAATGTATAAGAGATTCGGCCGGGGCTCTTCACGTCGGTGTATTCTAGAGGACCGCGCGTGTACGTTTCATAAATAATGAAATAGAAATAGAAATCACTCGGAAACTGTTTTCGTTACGCGCGTGCACGCGCGTGTGCGCCGCACTCTGTATATTAATGAATTAAATCTCGTGTCACATCGCGACGTAATTTGCCGCGTGTTTGCCTACAAATAGAATATTTACGATACGCTCGAGTCGTCTATCGGAGAAACGAATTACGAGACGTATTAAGCAAAAGTGCAAAAAGTCTCTTTCTCTTTCTTTTCTCGCGCGTTTTCTCTTAACAAGCAGCAGCGCTTTATAACGCTTATAAGCGCGATCCCAGAAAAATTCAACTGAACGCGGCGCGGAGCCCTCCGTGAAGTAACGCGAGACAATGCGGCGACTCAAAAGCGCCGACAACGTTCCGTCGCTAGAAAATCAATTTTCCCAGCGAATATCGGAGCCTATTGTTCCCTTTTTTCCACATGTCTCGTCCCATTCAACGCCGGCAATCGCGTCGTTTGGGGAATTTTATCGAGGCAGCCGCGGTAACGTCCGAGGTGGACTGTCGATGAACGACCATGACCACGCGCACAATGGTTCATGCGATCCTCCGTCTCGTCGCGCGATGCCGCGTATATCTACGTCGCTTTTGTGTCGCGCCTAAGACGCGCCTCGAAAAAGCACCGCGACTAATTAATATCCGAGCTTTTTGCCGAGGCGACGCGGACGCGCGTGTCAAATTTGTGACCAATCACGAGGTTATCCGGCAATTTCAGCGGTCTACCCCCTCCGTCTCGAGTATCCCATCGACGTTTCGTTCGTTTATCGCAAATTGCAACATGCAGAAAACTCATTTAGTTCAAACTGTAAAAAGCTAAGAAGTCTTTAATCATATTCAAGGATCATTTGATCTGTATTTTCCAAAATGTATTTACTACGCGGTAAACTAATTTTTTTTTATATCGAATTGTTATAAAAATCTGGACGAGTTTAGTAACTGTAGCATATCCTTCGGTTATAATTTAATAAAAATGATTAATTTCGTGAAGCACGCTTGAATTGAAGAGTCATAAGACTCGTTTAATGTTCATAGCAATAACAAACACTCCAGCTACGCAAGAATATTTAAATCGGAATCTATAAAAACCGAAGTTCCAAATATATAATAATTAAAGTTTCGAGAATGTTTTAATTTTTTGCAAAGTTTTAGCAATTTAAAGCTGTTCTTTTTTTCAAACGCTTTAGACTCGCTTTATCAGATAGTTATGAAAAGAATAGATTTTATTGCCTCTCACGTACCGTGTATAACAGAAAGGATTTTGCGTTGGACAAAAATAATTTATGCGGGACATCGAAACGTGGTAAATGATGAGCACAAGTCTCGGGTCAGCACGTCACCTTAATGTTTCCTTGTCATTTCTAATTCATTAAGTGGACGCGAGTTAGTCGCTCCTAGAGTTTGTAGCTACTAACTTAACTTATGATCTCATCATGCGATCGAGGTTACAGGCTTGGTTAGTGGCTATACAGGCCACCATAGTATAGTACGAGTATATGTGTTGATCTGTAATCCTAAAAGCCAATATTAACGTAACGTAGGCACCCGCCACACAATTAAGCGTATAGCGTCGCCCCTGCAATACGATTTATTTCAGTTGCAAAATTATGAAAAGCTTCCGTTCGAGCACGTGAATTATGTCGCCTTTACAAACACCTACGGCATGCACGTCAGTCCTTTCTGCGCTGTGCAAAGATAAAACCTATCTCATAAAATCTCGCACATGTATCATTTATTTCGACTCGTTCGTATATTTAATTAAATGATAAGATTTGGAACAATCGCGCGACTTACCAACACATTTCTGGTGTAACAGATGACTTCTTGCGATGGAATAAGGATATTCAGGATAGAACACAAAAATTGAAACAAGAAAGAAACGAAAAAATAATGTACTATTTGTGAATTTATTTAAGACTAGAAAAAAACAAATAATATTAATAACATAGTATTAATCAATATCAATAGCTTATTGGAGGATGATGAATATGAATAGTTAAATAATAATAATAATAATAATAATAATAATAATAATAAAATATATACATAACGCATACATAGGAAAATAATATACCATACTGACAGTAATTGTGTTTTGACGTAAGATCGATACAATAATACTTAATAACGCGTTAATACATAGGAAAAGCGAGAAGCGAAGCCACACCCTCGTCAGCCATGGATACGAGTGTAAAATAAAATAAATTCGAAAGAGAGAAATAAACGGACGTTGTACCGCCAGTTGCTCGCAGTCGAGATATCCGGTTCCAATCGAGGAGGAAAGAAAAAACGCGTGGGCAGACGAAAGCGTGACCATCACAAGGAAGATTCATAAATAACTAATATAAAAGAAAATAATAATTAATAAATTCACATATACGTAAACATTCGCAACGACAGTAAGTCCGATTATCGTAATTTCATATTACGTCGTCAAATGGCAGGCGCTACAGCGATGGTGGGACGCTGCTTGTGATCTAACACGTAGAATTAATATTGTCGTGCTTAGTTGAATTAACGGGCTAAGATTGCGAGGAAGGGCCCTATTCGGATTTCTGGGTCGAATTGTACAGGGAAACTTACGCAGTATTTACAATTTACTAAAGGACGAAACGAGGACGAAATCCGTAAAGGGCGTCAAGATGTTGGAATGACTTCGCAAATAATGACGACGATAACGAGGACGATAGAATAACAGTCACATCGCTTAGAATATTAGATGGATTATAATCAGTTAAAATGGATAAATCGCTAAAATCTTGAAATACAAAATATAGTAATAGAATTCGTATAGTTGAGTCTTTAACTGTACAGATCGTAGAAACACAATTTAATAGCTTTGTCATTAAATCTTTTAGCGCGAATCAATAACTATAGAAAGATTAAATCTTTTAGCCAGAATCAATAATCTAAATCACTAATAAAACTACCTTCACACTTTCATATAAATTCTACTACTTTTCATATACGTTTTCCCCTCCCGTTTTTCTCTTTCGCTCTTTTATTCATTTATTCGCTCTTTCGTGATATTTTCATTTTACTTTCATTCATTCTTATAAAATATTACTGATTATCTCTGCTAGATATCTAATTGATTATTATGATTGGATAGGAACTTTAGAGAATATACCCTAACTCTAGAAATTTAGATATATTCTAAATGTATAAATCTGTACAAATAATACACATGTAGAAATATATTTAGAGAATGTATACGTTTCGTATGTATACATTCGTAATCGAGCATCATAGTGATCATCATGATGATATTATAAAGTTATGCTAATCGCCTAGTATCGATTCTTAAATCGAACAGACCCTTACAGGGTCCATTCATAACAGGAGCCTATATCACAAGCCAGTTTATACGTTACGTATTACAAAACATTTATAAACGACTTAAACGCCGGCGAGTTCGAAATTCTTTGGCGCAGCGTCAATTTTAATGAACGCCAATGCCGCATAAGATTCGTTCTCGTCGATCTTATTAAACAAAATGCCGAAAACCGAAATAAAATTCTTTTCATTAGCAATAAGTAAAACAAACTGCTTCAAAAATTCTACGCCATATAAATACATAATATTTTTAAATATACAATACATATATATGGTATGTATACATATACTTTATATACATATATATGTATATATACTATAATATATATAACATATTATATATTACATGTATACATGTAATATATAATGATATATAATAATAAAAACATACGTACATGTCGTGCACATACGTACGTATATATATATATGTGTGTGTGTGTATATATATAATATATAATATATAATATATATTATATAAAAAAATAAAAAGTTGAGATGAAAATGTGACATGTATATTCATGGCTCGTTAAATCAGTTAAAACGAATTTCGAATCGACGTCGTGTAATCGTTTAGTCATTTAAGTCAGCCAGACACTCACCGGCCGTAGTACTAGCTGCGCTGGCCGTAGCGGCGGCGGGATGCTGCTGCTGCTGCTGTTGCTGCTGCTGCTGCTGCTGCTGTGACTGGAACATTGCCGTGGGATGAAGGAACACGGATCCGTACATCATGTTTTCGTCCGACTGCTGCTGCTGCTGCTGCTGCTGCTGCTGGTTGACTTGCTGGCTGGCCGTGGCGACCACCGGCGAATTGCCGATACCGGGCACGCCGGCGGCATTGGTGATAGGCGGCACGATCGGCGCCCCGGGGGTCGGCGGCACCAAGCTGCCCTCCTCGACGGCCATGCGCACCGACTCGATGTGTCGCCGCGAGAAAACATGCTCCTGCAGCGGTGTCTTGGCTGAGTAGCGTACAGAGCACAGTCTGCACTCGTCCGGTCCGGTCGGTCCGCGATGCGGTTGAACGGCCGAGCCCTCGGCCGGCAGACCAGCCGCCAATCTAGCCTTCTTCTCCTTAGCGCGGGCATTCTGGAACCACACCTGCAACTCGTCTCCATTAGTCTCCGTAACGCTCGGAATCGCTTGGATTAGACGCGCGCGCGTCCGAAGAATGCATCTTCTTGCGGATATTAATGGTTACTACGAGCACAGGGTCGGCTCGCACGAGGACTATCGATGCTCACCTGGACCACCCGCTTCGGAAGGCCGATCTCACGGCCGAGCATCTCGCATTCAGCCATCGTCGGCGTCTTGTAGTCCGAGAAGAGCGACTTCATCACCTTCACCTGAGTGGCCGACATCTGCGTGCGATATCGCTTGCCGCCGGATTGGCCAGTATTCCCGCCGGATTGTCCACCGGTCACTGGCGGCCCCGGCGTGTTCCCGGTACTTCCACTGGCGGGTCCCTGCCTCGAGCTCTGTGTGCTCGAGGCCGGGCTCGCCGGGCCGCTCTCGTCATCTAGAAACTCCGTGGTCTCGCTCATGCTGTCGTCGTCGCAGACGCTACGTTCGGATAAGTCAGTCAGAGGTCCGCAGTCACTGCCGCCGCGGAAGTGGACGCCGTGTTGCTCCTCGAGAAGGCTGCTGATGTTGCTCAAACACAGTTTCACCGGCCGGCTGAGATCGACTGGTTTGCTCAGATCCAACGGTGACTCGCCGCTGTTTCCGCTGGCCTGATGATTCGCCGTTTCTTGCTTTCCGTTACTGGCGTGCGCCAACTCGCTGAAGTATCGTTTCATGTCCTCGTAGTATTTCAAGGATTTCAAGGATGCCTCCATGTCGCTGTTGTTGATAGGCGGAAACAACGGTGGCATCATGTGCGGAGTGCTAGAATTCGAAGGAACGGACTCCATCGAGAGCTCTTCATCCGGGATGTTGTCTATGTTCACTTCGCCGCGAGCCACCTGGTCGGCGTGTTTGCTGCTAAGATGAGATTCCAAAGCGGATTTGACTTTGAATAGCGCCGGGCAGAACGGGCAGCGCTTATTGATAACTTGGCTGTGAGCGCGAAATTGGCCCTTACGCTCGCGTGCGCGGGTGTTCTGAAACCATACCTGCACCACACGCTTTTTCAAGCCAACCTCACGAGCGATGGTCTCCAGCATCTTCCTCGATGGATTAGATTCGATCTGGTATTTTTGATAAAGATAGTCCAATTGTTCCGGAAGTATCGTCGTACGTAAACGCTTGTCCTTGGGCTGCTCGCTGTGCTCCGAGTTCGAGCGGTTGTCGCTGCCCGTTCCCTCCTCGAGATCTTCGAACTTCCTCTTCTGCATCATGCTGATGAGCGAATGCGGAGTGTCCGTTGCGACTCCAACCTGGCTAGCGTTAGTTAGTGCTTGCTGTTGCAAAATTCCGAAGGGTGAATCAGGTGGATACGCTGAGGGGAACAAGGTCGGGTTCATGATATGTATTAACTGATGTTCGCGCCAAAGTTCGAATCGACCGAACATTAGGTTGCATTTGTCACACTGAAAGCTACCTTCCTTCGACTCTGTTTGCGACTGCTGCTGCTGTTGCTGCTGCTGCTGCTGCTGCTGCTGCTGTTGCGACGATTGAGATTGTTGTTGCGTCAGAGACAGGGTTTGTTGTTGGAGAGGTGACGAAGCGGTGCTTAATGGTTGTTGCAGCTGTTCGGTGAGCGCGGGCGCAGTCGTCGGATTGTTGGCTACCGTGTTGTTTGTAGTCGTCGTGGAGCTGCTGTTGCTATCTTCGGAGCTCAGAACCGCAGCGACCTGAGCCGCCGCGGCCTGTGCTTGCGCGCTCCTCTTGGCGTCCTCCTCTTTGAAACAGTGAGTCTTCTGATGACGGATAAGCTCATAATATCTCTGAAATACTAGCAGGCACTTTTTGCATTGGTAGTTCAAACCTGGTGTCCTCTGAAATCTACCAGAGCCATCGTCGCTTTCGCGTCCGCCCGTTGCCACTGGTTCGGCGGCGGGTTGATTCTCGTAGACCTTACGTGCTTTCTGTCTAGCATTTTGAAACCACACCACGATCACGCGCGGGCTCAAACCAAGGAGTTTGCTGAGGTACTCCAAGTCGTCGTCTTTCGGATAAGCGTTGTTCTCGAAAAATTCCTGGAGGACTTTTATTTGGTAGTCCGTGAATCTGGTGCGATTGGCGCGTTTACCGGAACTGCCGCTGGAGGTACTGCCGTTATTACTGCCACCAAAGTAGTCGGTCGGTCCGCGACCCGGGCTCAAGGACCTCTGCGGTGTGAGCGCCATTGCGGCGATCGCGCTCGGCACTACGCCACCGGCACCCGGAGTGGGATTGGCAAAGTTTTGGGAGGCCAATTTCGGCGGCAGCATCGGGGCGCTCGAGGCGTTCGTGGTCGACGGGGGATGGGAAGAGATGTCGTGATGGATGGCCGAGAATACGGAACTCATACTGAGCGCGGGTGAATGCGGTCGGGATTGTTGTCCGCCCGAGCTACCGGGCGAGTGATGCTGCTGGTCCTCTTGATGTTGCACAGTTTGCTGCTGCTGTTGACACTGCGACTGTTCAAGAGCCTCCTGCTTAATCTCGGCTTGAGACGCGCTGGTGTTTTGCGGTGGAGGCGTGGCTTGCTTATTTGGGCTCTTATCGTCGGAGGAACTGCTACCGGATACGCTTGAATTTAACGGAGTTACCTTCGCCTCGCCGGTTTTCTCGTACTCCTCGAGATTTAGAGTGGTACTTGGCGGATTATTGAAATTGTAAGGACTGTCTTTGTTACGCTGCCGTTCTTTAAATAACGTATTTCGGAACCAATGTTTTATGACTTTGGGCGGAAGACCGCTCTGAGCGGCCATGTCTAGGATTTGCTCTTCACCAGGGGAATTATTAATGTCGAAATGTGCTCGCAGTATTTTTAGTTGTTCGTCAGTGATACGCGTACGCGCTCGTTTCTGCGATGCAGCAGCATTTGCCTGAAATTAGATATGGTTGTTTTTTTTCATCACATGTTTTGTATTAAAGTAATACATTTTGACATGTAGTAATATGTATATTCTGACATACACGGAAATTGAAAACGAAATGTTATTAATTCAAGGAACTTGTTACGTTAAAATTAAATTAAGTTAACAATATAGACATGTAAATTAAATTAAATTTATTAATTTTAAAAAGCATTCTTTGTCAATATAAATCTAATTACATTTTAATTTAATTTATTATGTCAATTGATAATAATAAATATCTAAACAATGCTCGTGTTGAATCTTATTAGTTTCACACAGTCTCTTATTGACTTTACTCCTTTTTAATTTAATTTATTTACTGAATCATTTATATTTATACACAGATATTCTGTTATGATAATTATTTATATTTTTTTAATCACTATCTTTTCTTTTTCCTTGTGTAATTAGCAGGCTACTGGGGACTGAAGGCCATCTTCTTCTTAATTCAATCAAGCAGAGATTTTAGCCTCCGGTTTTCTCGTACTCGTCGAGATTTAGATTGATTATTGTGGATTATTGAAATTATAAGGACTATCTTTGTTACGCTGCCGTTCTTCAAATAACGTCTGTACTAACATTACTAACTCTGGCCAAGGTGGGTTGATAGAGGTCGGATGTGAAGGAAGGATAAATGTGGTGTGCATAGGAATAGAGTTTGGACATGGTTCCTCGGACACAGGTGAGGAAATCCAAGAGCTCGCATGGACAGAATCGCTAATCCTGAAGCAGATTTCTTCTCCGCCGGAATCGCGGTGAAGCAACTACTCGCTACCCGAAGTTTCATTCAATTAGATTTAAATTTAATTGATAATATATAATATGTTCTGTAAGATATTTATATTTGTGCGGAATTCTTTAAATTCTCTTTTAAAATTTTAAATTTTTACTTAATAATTTTGTGTTTACTCTCTCACTGTGATTTCTTACTATGAATATATTATTTATACAAAACTTGAAACTGTTGAAATTATTAATATATGTATACTAACACTATTTTTTAGTATATCTGTTTTGTTCAATATTCTTTTAATTCTATTTAAATATTTTTTTATGAAAACCTCGTTTTGTCAACGTATATATACATAAATGGTTAAATAAAAAAATGAATGTTTAAACATATGGATCCTAGGTTACGCATAACAAGCATGGTTTACTTACGGCTGCTGCTGCCTGTTGTTGTTGCAAGGCAAGATGTTGTTTGGCAAGAAGATCTGCTTGATTAATCGATGGATATGCAGCAGCGGCACCATCATACGGTGGTGGCGGTAGCATCATTGGCACTAGAGGCGGTTGCAGATTCATGGCAGCTAAGGCGGGTACATTTAAGCCCAATGGTAATCCCATCATTCCCATCATTAATCCAGGATATTGTTGTAACTGCTGCAGCTGGGATGCAGCCATTGCAGCATTTAGAGCAGCGTGCATTTCGGTCATCTGTTGCGCAAGTGACATTTGAGTTTGCTGCTGCTGCTGCTGCTGTTGTTGTTGTTGTTGTTGTTGCTGCTGCTGCTGCTGCTGTAGCTGTTGCTGCTGCTGTTGTGAAATATGGTGCTGCGGATTAGTAGACAGCACAGTCGGCGTCATAGAATCCGTGCTTGAAACTGGCGTGTTGCTCAACGCCGGAGTGGTCGCTGGAGTAGTAGACGTAGCTTCCGGTGTTCGGCTGATACATTCTTTGCTCTCGGTGTTATCTTCCTTCTCCTTTTCACGAGATTCTTTGTCGGAGCTGAGATCTTGAGGCTGTCCGGCGGCGGGCGTTGAGCTTCTCGGCGCCGTCGTGGTGGACGAGGACGTCGCGACGGTCACCACGACACTTTTCTTCTCGTACTCGCACTTGAACTGCTGCGCATACTTCTCGAGAAACTCGCGCGGCACGAGATCGCGATGAACCTCCTCACAGTGCGCCTTCAGGACCCAAACGCTGCTGAAATCCTTATTGCAGTGCTGGCAAGTGCTGCGCGTAAGTTCGGGTATCACATCGTCATCAATATGAGCCTCTTCGGCTTCCTCCTCCTTCTCCTGCATGGCTTGAGCAGCGAGAGCTTGCTTCTGCTGTTCCTGCTTCTGCTGCTCTTGCTGCGCTTGAAGGGCGGCGGCCGCTTCCTCCTCCTTGCGCTGTCGTCTTTGGTGATTCTCATTGAACTGCATGACGAGATCAAATCCGAAACTCTCCAACAGATGCTTGTATATGTGCGAGGTCTTATGCCGTGGCTGGGAGAGAATATCCTGCGTGGTCTGCGATGCGTGCTGCGTGGTTGATTGCATGTGCTGTTGCGGCCCTGGTGTCGTAGATGTCGGAGGTGGCGTCTTAGTCGGGGCGGACGAAGCCAATTGTTGCGACGCAGCAAACTGTTGAAACAACGCCAATGCCGGATTGTTCAAGATGTTGCACAGTTGCTGATGCGCCGTGAGCTGATCTTGATTGACGAACATACTGTTGCAGCGCGCACAGGAGAGCATCCCTCCCGTACTCGTGTTCGTGTTGCCGGGCGGACTGTTCGGGCTCAGCGGCGGCTGTTCGATCAACGGTCGAGCGAGATCTAACTGGCCGCTGGCGGCGAGGTCCTGCAGTTTACTGGCACGCGTTTGATGAAGAACACTTCTCATATGGATGTCCAAAGTGCTGCCCTGAGAATAAGCGACCTTACAGATGTTGCACTTATACGGTTTCTTGTCTTGATCTTGCTGAGAGTCGGGCGATTCAGTCGGGCTAGCGGGAGGTACGACGGAGATCAATGTGTTGTTGTTACCTTGCTCCTGCATCGCTCGCTTCAACTTGTGCAAATGACTCACGCTGTTGTAGTGCACCAGAAGTATGTTCTTCTGCGTGAAGCTCTCCTTGCAAACGTCGCACTTATACGGCCTGTTGGGATCCAGATATTTCTCCATGGGATAAGACATTTTTTCACCCTTACGGTGCAACAGGGTCTTGTTGTGGCCCGTCAAATAGCTCTGACGCGTGAAGGCCACCTTGCACCGGTGACACTTGAATTTCCGACTTGGATCTTGATAGGAATCCTCAGCGATCGTTTGGCTGTTTAGATAATCTTCCAGTAATCGTTGTTCCTTCTGCAACGGGGACGGCTGATCGCTGGCATCACTTTCCTCCTCGTCGCCTCTACCAGCGTCATCTTCCACATGCAGCTCGCTCGCCAGGCCGACTTGTCTCTTCAGTGTTTCTTCCGTGAGCGCTTGAAGAAGAGGATGCTGGAGCAAACTCTGCTTATACTGATTCATCTCTTCCTCGTGGAGATCGTGAGTGGATTCCAAATGTCTCTGAAGGGCTTGGACTGAGCGAAAAGATCGTCCGCACAGGGCGCATTTAGTTGCATCTCTAATAGCGTGATACTGAGAGTGTTGCTGAAGTTTCTCCAAGGTTTTGAACGCGAGGCTGCACTGCACGCACCGATACTTGTAAACATGTTTCTCGCTGACCGCCAAAGTGGTGAGAGTCGGATGAGCTTCCCGCTGATGTTGTTGAAGTTCCTCGATGGAGCGCCAAACTCGGTTGCACACGTTACACCTGTATATCTCCATGATATCATCATTACCACCCTGTTCGCTCATCTCTTCTTCCTGATGGATCTTCGTCGTCGTCGTGGGCGACGTCGGCGTCGTTACGGTGACAGCCGGCGTCGAGGAATTCCTATTGTTGTTCAGCCAATGGCTTTGATCCACCAATAACAGTAGCCTCTGCAGACCGTCGGTATTAACGGAGTGAATTTGCATCACGTGCTTCTCCAGGGCGGGACGTTCCTTGAAATTATCTTGGCACAACGGGCACAACAATTCCGCCGGCTCTTCCTTTACCGCTTCAGTTTTCTCCTCCGAATCTTGAACGTGAGCCACTTGCAAATGCTGCCGTAACTCTTCCCGCGACGTCGGCTGATACGTACAGTATAGGCACGTAATTTCTTCTTGGTCATTCTCGGGCTCGGCTTCCGGCTCTGGATCATTGTCCGGCTCTTGTTTCACTTCACTACCGCAATCACTACCTTCCTCTCGTCGTTCTAGAAATAGATTAAAAAAAAAAATAAAGAATTCGTGTCAGAATTTTTATGTGACAACAAGATACTTATCGAACGCTCTCATACTAAAAACGACAAAAATCACCACAGTGCTGATTTTAACAAAATAAGTTTTTATGGTTACAAGATGTCATAAAAATTAACAAAATAAAAGATACCACAATGCTAATTTAAGCAAAATAAATTATGGTTACAAAAGATAAAAAACAACAAAACAATTATTAAAATTTATTTAATCAAATACTGTTCTTTATTTTTTATAATAGCGATACACGTCGCAAAAAATTAATATATAAAAATTGATACGTAAATATATATATTATGTAAAATCTTGTCAATCTAGATGAGAAACTATAAATTAAATTACAATTTGTCAGTTTTTTTTATTGACACTGACATTTATTGATCGATATATTTAATTTTACGACCAAAACGTCCCAGCATGAAATTAAAACAACTCGGATGTGAAGCAAAAGAGAAGAAAATTTACGATCCGTTTATTAGTAATATTTGCGAACATCAGCCGTGTTTTGAAATTACCAAACCTGTTTGCCGCAATCGATATTTATTCGTATCAAGCCGCGTTAGCTCGACGGCAACAAGCGACTAATTAAAAAAAAAACTTTCATGTACACGTGACGTGTAATCAGTAACTTGGCCGCGCGGGAAGTGACGGCAAAAATCTTAGGGCTGGCTTGTTTATAACGTTTCCAGGTACCGTGGAAAATTTCGCAATTACGATTCATCGGGCAGCTATCGGCATACACTAAAGATTATTTACGATTCTATCCGGTCACCGAGATTTGCCACAATAAATCGGGCTCCTTCGTCCGACCGGCGTGGCGCGATATTAAACTTGGGCATTATGTATTCAGAGCCGGAGAGACAGCCATCCGTTTCGCGGCGATTCGTTCCCCGAGACATTAACTCGAAACGCCACGCGGGAGAAAGTAAATTATAGATACTACCGGTATAAACTATGACAGTGCCAACACACAGCGAAAAGTTTCGCGTTTCAGTGTCACGTATACGACCGGGAGGGCGACGCGGTGTGCGCTTGTGTGGCGGAACGTTCCTTAGGCGGCGCTATTATATTGATTAGACCTGTCCCGAGAATCGCGCGGCTCGCGATTCTCCTCCCGCGCCCGCGGATCGATCGCGCGGCGGAATTACCGGCCGCAATTATACACCGGTCCTTTCGGCAGGAAAAGGATTTACGCAAGCGATCGCGCTCGTAACGCACGCGCGACGTCGTCGCGTAGAGAGAAAGTTTTCCGTCGACGCGGGGACACGTTTCGAAGACGACGCGAACGAAGACGCATGCACGCATGTCTGCACGCGTCGCAGATGCTCTCGCGCGCCAGTTTTGCAACAATAATATGCTAAATTACAGATTGGCGACATCGAACTACCGATGGTGGTTTCCTACAAAAAAAAAACGAGAGAGAAGAGAGACCGAGAAAGAAAAAAAAGGAGAAAAAAAACGGAAAAGAATCGAACGAAAAAAAAAAACCGAAAGGAGGACAGCCACCGCCGTGTACGCATCGCCGCGGTATTGTCCGAAAGCACACTTGCAACGTGCACGGCCGTCAGTTGCGACGTCGCGCAACGCGCGCGGAGCAAAACGCGTGCTGCTGGTTTCACCTCGCGCTCCTGCCTTCTCCTCCACTCGTATATTTATGTAAGTACAGCCCGTCGATATATAATAACACGCGGGTATTGTGCGCGACGCGCCGCGGCGGCGGCGGCGGCGGCGGCAGCGGCACACGCCACGGCCATATGCCACGCAAAATTACCGTAATCGCCGGCTAATTGTGAGATAATAAAATAATGAGACCAGTGAATTCATTAAGGGCGCAGTCGTGAGCTTTCATTGCTAATGTAGGGCGCAGGCCGGCACAAAAGAAATTCACCCGTAAAAGGAATTACGTTTCATCGTCACGAAACCTGATTGTACTCGTTTTCGCAATGTAGTTTCCGACGTACCTTGACATATTTTTCGGATGTTACTCACAAGTAGACCTTGTATAACAAAAATTCTCAACTCTGACACTTTTATTTAATTTATCATTTATAAAATACATCAAATTATAGGGAAGGGAGAGAACGGCAAGAGAGACAACACAACACGAATAACAAACTTAAAAAAAGAAAGATACCGCAGGTCGATTGATCGAAAAATACCACAATGTTCTTTCAGCGTATAGCGACAGCTGTCTCACGCAAAAAAAAAGCGATTAAAGGAGTTCACTTTTTCTGAATGACGAGGAAGTGAAAAACGCGACATATTCGTGATTACAGACCGAAGCCTTTTTCTTTTTCAGAGAAACCAAGTTGTTTGAACGTTGACACACTTTGCACCGTTATGTAACTTTCTTAAATGTACAAGTTTTAGTACCGTTGCCGTTACTTATCGATTGCTCTTTTATAATTCTGGCATATTAATGATAATTCCGTCGTAAAACGCGTTTCGCAAAACATTGTCTTTGACAAATGAAATATTTTCAGGTACATTAAGGTATCATTATTGACCGGCGTTGAGGATAATTATATGTAAATTAATATTTCGTGGCGGCAACGGACAATATTTCTTATACTCGCGACACGTAGACGTTCGTTCGTTGTAACTCACCATTGTTGGTGCTCGTAGCGTTGGGCGTCGTTGGCGTGGTCGGACTGGGCTGTTGCGTGGGCGGCACATCGGGATCACTAGTCACTTGAAACACGACGCTGATATCCGTGTGCGGGGACTCGTTTCCCGCGAGGGTGCCTCTCCTGTGAATGTGATGTATCTGTTCCATGTGAAGGTGCCGCAGCGATCTCACGTGCTGCAGCAGCGGCAATCGGTGCCTGGTGCTGTACCCGCATATCACGCAATGATACAATTTTCCGGGGGTCTGGATGTTGCTGCTCGCTTCGAGCAGATGACGGAGCAGAAGGGACGCGGCCTCGTGCCTCGGCAGGGCGGCGTGCAGGGCCAGTTTGTGAGCACTGTTGGTGTAGTAGTCGCACGCGTGGCAGCGCAATTGCGCGGCGCTCGTGGGCGACGCCAGGTATTTGAGCTTCCATTCGTTACGCGGGCCACCCTCCTTCACGTGGTTCATGTGCTGCAGCCGCTGCAGGTGCTTGTCAGTCTTACAGTGCAACTGGAAATTTGCCTTCAGGTTGGTTTTATAGGAACAGAGTGTGCAGACAAAGTTTGCGTTCATCACCGCGAGTATATCGTTCTCGCGGGTCCGGGTTCTGTCGACGGCTAGATGGTGACTCAGAGCCTCGAGCGAGTCCGTCGCGAAGTTATTGCAGATGCAGCATTGATACAAATGGCTGGGATCCTGATCCGGAGGTTCCGGTGGCGGTTCCATACTGTCCGGTGAAAGTCCAACGTCACCAACACCCAGATTGGTCATGGCAGCAGCGCTCGCTATGGAGCCTATAAGTTCTGGCGGAAACTGCGGCATTTGACCGCCGGTCATCATTGTCATCAAGACCGCTTGATTGTAAGCTAAGTCGGCCAATGCCGCTTCTGTGGGTTGCGGTTTGTCCAAGCCGCCTAAGTGGAGCAAATGCTCGAGTTGTTGTTGCTGCTGTTGCTGATGGTGGTGCTGCGCCTGTTGATGGTGGGACAACGCGGACAATGTCTGCATGTGCTTGATGTTCTGGTGCAGCACCATCGAGTTGTGCGTATGCTTTTCACTCGTCATGTGTATCCTCAGATTGCGCGCAACGTTTGTCTCGTAGTTGCATATGTCGCAGCGAAACGAGAGCTTCGGCTTGCTCTGATTGCCGCTCTGAGCGGCCCGGTGTGGGCTGTGATTCTGCTGATGGTGGGGACTCCTTGTCGGCATTGGCGCGTCCTGAGACGAGGAAGGATTGCTGGTACCGGAAGCACCCCCGCCTCCCTGCTGCAGTTCCTGCATGTTGTTCAGATGCTTATCGCTCTGCATGTGTATGCTGAGATTACCTTTCGTCGTGGTGGAATAATTGCACACTTCGCACCTGTATGGCTTGTAGCCACAGGTGTAGGTTTCGCCACGCGCTAACCTGGGATGAGGCTGACCTGCATTGCAATAAAAACAGGACGTCTCGCTCTCCGGATGTTTTTCTTTCATGTGTATCTCGAGAGTCTCTTGATACTTGTAGTGCCAGTTGCACTTGGGACACTTCAGGGTTTTGCAGGAGTTTCGACTGTGTATCCCGGCGAGTGGTCCGCCGGGACCGGCGAGTCGACTGCTCGTCAATATGAGCTCGCACTTCGGGCATTCCACTCCACTTGGTCTACCTTGCATGTGTTCGGGACAGACACCTATCGTGGTGCCGGTCAGAAAGTTCGGTGGAGCCTGAGTGAGAGCGGCGTACGAAGACGGAGATCCTTTGGTGGACGAAGTTGGCGGTGGCGGTGAGCTGTAATGCATGGCGTCAGGAGCTTTGGCCCAGGACGCGGCGCTCACTTGCGCGCCGGTCCAGGGATGCTGCTGTTGATGATTGTACGTGAGAGGATGATTCGAGTGTGACGTGGGCGTGGTGGGAGTGCTCGGCGAGGGTCGCTGCTGTTGTTGCGTCTGTTGCGATTGCTGTTGTTGCTGCTGTTGCTGTTGGGGACTACTAGGTACGCCGGGTGTGCTCGCCGGTGTGCTCGTTGTGGTCGGCGTTGTCTCGTGTTCGTTGGTCTCGCTGCGTTGCTGCTGTTGTTGAGCCTTTATCTGCGCGGGCGACTGAGCGCAGGTCGAGCTCGTGACAGGTTCTAGGAAACTGACGAGCGGCTGCTTTCCTCTACCCACGGCCTGTATAATAGCCGACGCCGTCGAGTGAGAGAGTATCTGTCGTTCGTCTTCCATTAGGGTAAGTTGATGCTCGCCCTGGGCATGCGCGACGAAACTTTTCGCGTATCCAAAACTGAGCTTGCATATGAAACACATTAGGATAGGTTTGACGGGGACCGACGCGGCAGGCGGCGGCGGTACTGTGGGCGCTGGAGGAGGCTGTTTACTACCCTCCGCGCTCCTGTAACTGATCACCCGATAACTGTGCATCACGGGAAGATCGGGATTGTGCTGTTGGGACGTCGAGCGCTGTTGTTGCTGTTGCTGCTGGTAGGCCTGATGCGCGTATAACCGCGATACGTAGTATGCGTTCGCGATTTGCGGGAAAACTAAAGAGTGAGGAACCGAACAACCGCGCCCATCTATGATACAACCATCGGGTAGAGAGTCGTCATCGCTGAGTCCTTCGCTTTCGCCTTCGATGATATAGGCCGACCCGTCCGGGTTATAAACGATTTTACCGTCGAACTTTTCCACGTCGCCGCCCGTCGGGCTCGGACTCGGGCTAGGACCATGTTGCTGCTGTTGCTGCTGACTCTGTGACTGCATCGTCATAGTCGTCGTGGTGGTAGTTGTATCAGAGATGGGTGTAGGTGTTGGTATTGCGTCGCGGGTGCAGGGTTCTGTGCCCGAAGGTGGACTAGCCGTGCGGGGGTGATGGGGCTGATGAAGTGCAGCCCCAGCCGCAGGGGGGGACCCACCCACTCGGCCCCCCTCCTCCTCCGGGCTCATCTCCTGCTTCTGCTGCGCGTACGTGGAATTTTGGAAGGGTCCGCCGTGTTGCTGCTGTCGCTGTTGCTGTTGCTGTTGATGCGCCGCCACCAACTGAAAGAACTGATGCTCGATCGCGCTCTGCGTGTGCTGCTGTAGATGCGAGGGAGGAATGTTGTGGTGCTGAAGGTGGTACGGGGGATGAGGCTCACTGGAGGGCATCACCCCAGACGTGAGGCGGGCGCCAGCCTCACATCACCTACGGTGTCTGCGCCTGCGTTCTCCGGACTTCCTCCGCGGACTCTTCTTCCGTGCGGATTCGCCCGTTTCCTCGTCGACTGCCTCCCCGTCTTATTTTCTTCGTCACGAAGAGACGGTTCACTAGCTACCCCGACGCAAGCCCAGGTCGTACCTGCAACAATTCAAATGAAGATCGGTCATTCAGACTGAATGATTTAACACATTAACAACAATTTTTATGCAAAGCTTTTCGTACAGATGTAATTAAAAATATACGTAGGTATATCTCGAGTACTTTGGAAGTATTCCGAATTCTATTCGTTGGATGAGACTAGTTAGCTCGCTCGCGAGAGAGTGAATTCGCAGACGGGGCATTTAGAAGTCGTCCACTCGTCTAATCCGGTTAAACAGAGTCAACATTCCGAAGACGGCCGAAAGATAGCGAAATACGCAGAAGTGCAGCAAGCTGCGTGTGCAGAGGATCGCCCGGAGAAGACGGTTAGATACACAAAGCGGCGGCGAAGAACCGTCGCGGTAACACAACGGCTCGTTGTGCTCGGATTACCTGAGTGAGCCCAGCTGTGTTTGCGATCGATCGGCCATGCTTATCTATCGATGAAATATCAATGTTCCCCCGTCTGAGCAATACGAGAGCGAAAGACGAAAACGAGCGCAGCGACGGCGAGTCGTCGCTATGAATGCTCGCTTGTATGCGCTCAGATTGAAGGATCCTTCGTCCCTCTTACGCATATCTCTCTTCTTTTATCAACGGTAAAGCTTTCGTCGTAGTATATGAAATAGAACATTGTTTGCCTGCCCACTGAATTAACTCCTCTCCGTTTGTCTACTTTAAACTTTTACTTTAACTGACATATAAATTTTGATATTTTTCATAAATTTCTTTTTTATTTTTTTTTATATTTTGCAATCTAAAAAAACTTCTGAAATTCAGAGTTTCTAAACATGTGTGTCTTCACTGACAAGAACGTAGACCAAATTAAAAATTCAGAGGCAAGATTCCCAGGCCGCGATTTAACGCACAGGCAATAACGCGGTCTTGCTTCGCACGTCCGCCTTGAGATAATCCGATTTCAAATTACGCAAATCGACAAATTACAAACTGCAAAAGCGGATAGGGAAATGCACGTGCGTCGCGATTCCGGATTAGGTAGAGCTAACTAGAAGGATTAGACGCGTCTCGCGGCGCGTCACCCGAAACGAGATACGCCGGTCGCTTTGATTACCGGGGGGGGGAGCGCGGGGGCGAGGGAAGGGGGGGGGGATAAACACGCGCTCACGGGAGCATAATCCACGTTTCCGCTGAAACGTGCGCGATGATGCGAATTCCTCGCCGCGAGCGAGAGGCGAGGGCGCGCAGGCACACAGGACTCTAATAATCTAATCCCAATTACGGCGGAATCGCGGTTCTCGAATCAACGTCGTGAGGAGGAGGCCGGCCGCAAGCATTCACGGAATCTAACGGATTAAAGATGAGCCACACGGGTGGGTGTAACGCGGGATTTATGCGCCGGCTCGCGTGCGTGTGTTACGGGGGTGTGGAACGGCGTGACGATCCGTCCAGAGAGAGAGTGTACATCCCATCCCGCGGAAGAGGCCTGGAACCGATCTGTCTCTCTTCCTCTCTCTTTCTCTCTCTCCCCCTTTCCCTCTTCTGCCCCCCGACCCGTCCCTCTCACGCCCCCCTTGGCCGCGGGCGGTATCGCCGGACATTATGGTACATACGCGTATACGCGGCATTACACGGCCCCCCTCCCTCTTCACCTTCTACTCCTCTCTCTGTTTCTCTCTCTCCCTCTGTCTCTTTCTCTCCCTCCATCAGAACACCGCGCCATCGCCACAGTTATAATTCCGCGGTGCAAACGCCATAATCTAGTCACCGTATCCCCCGGCATCTCTTTCTCGAACGATACCGCTTTTATAATGCGTGAGGTACGGCCGGCCGCGCGATCGTTCCCTCGGATTATCATCGATCGATACCGCCAATCCTAGGCGAATCCCCCCTTGCCGCGGTGCCCAATCACGTGCCCGCGCGTATTCGAGAGACGTTCCGCGATCCGATAAAATCCTGGGTGCCTCGGCCAACGGCGCTCATTAAAGCAAAATCGTACACGTCGAGGAATATAATTGCGCAGCCTACTGGATCGGTGCTAAACGAGGGGGGGAGCAAAATGCACCTTTACCCGTATTCCCGCAAATATGTAGCGAAAAGAGCTCCGCTCTTGAGCATCGCTTAATACATGACATCAACGTCGATACGCTCTTTCGGTTAATAATTATAACTCGATGTTTGAGGAGTCATAATGTGGCAATGGTATATCAGAAATGCACAAATTACTAAAATTGCAAATTAACAAAGCGCAATTTCATCTGATTTTCCTTCCAACGTTGTAGCGCATTGACATTAAACTGTTTGCGACGTTTGCGTACAACTTTGCCATATCTTTAACGAGCATTTTTTTTTTACAGCCGCTACAAGTTTATTGAATTTAGCTTTCAGCTTTATAGACGCGAAGAAAAGTGTTGCGTTTATATTATCACGAGTACTAACATAAAAATCCTGTTCTCGCTTTTAGGACGCATTGAAATATTAATATCGAAACCTCTCTCGCCGAGTTCTCGAGAATTAAAAATGTACGGTATTTATTTAATGTGACAATCTAACGGTTCACGCAGTCAGATGTCATCTGTATAAACGATATTGATACGTTATCATATATTTCCAGCGTGCACGCGCGAGGTTACAGGCGCGGAGAGAAGAAAATAAGGGTAACAAAGGGCATCGGGACAAACGAAGAACATCTGCCAATCTGACATCACCTGCCTCGACTCGCCTATTTCTAGTCAATTTATCACGCACTTCGGGTAACGCCGTGGATGAGCGGAAGGACGACTAGCGGCGGCGTCGACGCGTCGATGTTAGAGGCGTATGGCGTTGTCGAACGGCTTTGTTTTCGCAGGGTCTGGCCCTAATTAAACGATAGCATCTTAATTGTCTCCCGACCATTCTAACGCGGCGGGATTCATGGCCGCGATCGCTCCGAGGGTAGACCGCCAAGTTTCGACTGCTTCCTTATATTAGCACCGTCATGATTCCTGTTTGTACGCCAGAAATCTGTGGCCGCTCAAAAAATTATTCAAAAATTATTCATGATTATTTTTAAATTATAGCATTACACGGTGCAGGTTTACCATGTTAAAGAAAAATTGCATACGGCAAGAACGATTTTACTGGATACACATCTGAAAATAATTTTGTTGGAAAGTCAAACTGATTACTAGAATATCCAAATATTTACAGCAATGCTTGTCATTTTTGAGTTTCTAACAAAATTATTTTCAAATCCAAATTTTTTGACCTTCCAGCAAAATCGTTGTTTCCGTGCATTATTGTTCTCCGTATAAACTTGCTCTTAATTCACAAATATTTTTTTATTAAATCCGAATTAACAAATTACAAATAACTAATAAATAAATAAAGACTTAATTTTCCGTAATTTACAACGACGAATGTAACTATTAATATAAAATTATTTTCTATGTTTCATCGATATGTCGACGGGAAGACAATATTGCTTCATTGAATTATGATAACATAATAATGATCTTTTAAGATTTGACAGATCTGTGTGTATGTGAGTAGAGATAGAGAAACGGTGTTAAATCGATAAATATTTCACGAAGCAAACGTGCACCGATGGATCTACGAGCGTAACAACGACGCGATACACCACGAAGCCCGACGTAATTATAACTTCGGAGAAAGTCGAGGACGATCACAGGTGGCTGATGAGTGTTCAATAGTGGAAAAGGGAAGCGCATGACATAACCCAGCGGGAAGAAAGGAGCGGCGGAGGGCACGGCGGTGGGACTGGGTGAGGGGGCACGACGGGGGGAGGTGAGCGTGGACGATTCGGCGGAGGGAAGAGCCGCCGATGATGGGAGTTAAATGTTCGGCGAAGGAGCGACCGCGAAGTCGACGCACCGTGGGCCCTTTTGTTTGTCGCGGTGTTTCGCTCGAAAGGTCCCTTTTGTATCCTCCCGAACGGAGGTAGGAGGCATCCGCGCGGTCCCTCCGCGGGGCCCTCCACATGGCGGACCCGGCCGCGTTTATTCGGCACGAAATACGCAAGATGCGCGCAATTATGGCCTCTCAATTATCTCGTACGCGTCTCGTTATTTATTGAATATCGTGCCTGCTTATTTCTCAGGCGAGTTTGCGTGCCGCGGTAAGAGGGTGTCCTCGAAGAGGAGAGCGGCGAGGGGGTTGAGGCAGCGGGAGCGGCACCGTCTTTCTTTTTTTTTCTCCTTGCGGGTTTCGACACGGCCCGACGTGTGGGGACGCATTGTTCGGGCTGATACCGAAACCGGAAGTCGTCGAAATTCCGCGTCGCGCAAATCGAGACCGCAGACTTTCGTGTGCTCCAAAAACGGCACACGCAGAATAAACAGGCGTATTACTAGAGCATATTACACCTGCGACACCCTTTAAATCATTAATTCGCAGACTCAGCCGATCGTTAAAAGGATACGTTAATATTCTTTACGTTACAAATAAATAAAATAAATAAAAAATATAAAAAAATAATTAAACAAATATATACATAAATAAATACTTGTGGTGATCACAGCATAAGCTGTGCGTCTTCTTTCTGTTTTCTTCAAAGATCGAGATTCAAATCCACTCAGAACAATATCAAATTTATATTCGATCCACACTTCTCAAAAGGTAAACTATCATTCCTCACTCATCATATCTTTAGGAAAACTTCTTCTAAGAAACCGTTCGGAAATGGCGTTAAAACTGTAGGTTCAATATATCTAATTCTAAGGCGCTTTAAAACCTGTAGATCCCATATATCTAAGCTTCGTTCAAAATTTTTGATTTTTCACGATAACTTTACCTTAATACTTAAATAGTAGCATAATTTATAACTATAATTCTAAAAGTAATATTATTAGTT